GATCACCTGCCCCGAGAGTCAAAATGTTTATTTTACACAACATTTTCACCAAACAGCAAACATCTTACAAGGTAAGTTTCTATTTGGTCTGTGTTTGAGCTATAACTACATGAGGGGTATCAAATTAATCCTTAAGTGGGTAGGAACAAATCTAGGCTATTGCCAATGTTATCTGATGATGTATGACTTAATGGCAACATCGAATGTCCACCGAGTGACTATATCTTTGCGCATCAAAAATATGATGTTGCCTGCTTACACACTGTAGGCATCCATATCCCCTGTATGTCCCCCGACACCACCACAATGTTTGAGAGAGGTTGGTGTTGTAGAAATTTAGTTTTTATAGTGAACAATAACTTTTAGGCACATCCAGTGTGCAAAAACAGTGCAATTACCACATTCAGACATTTTGGAGAGGTTGAAAGGACAATTGAATGTACCCTGGATACCCCTTAACACCACCACAATGTTTGAGTGAGGTTGATATGGTAGAAATTGTGTTTTTATACTAAACAAATAGCATTTAGGGATTGCAAATATGTAATAGCACTGGAATTATCAAATTTAGGGACACTTGGAAACGTCCCGTGACCACACCTGACACCACTTACTAAAACATCTGCCAATTTCTAGTTGTTAGGTCTATCAATCCCATTATTTTCTGATATTGTTCACATGTTGTGGAAGCCATCTGATGTTTTTACAGCTCTAGTCATCAATAATTCACTTATAGCTTGTCAATGAAAGATGCCTTTCAAAATAAAATAATGGTTATTTTGTGTGTGCTTGATCTTGTGTATTCTGAACTATGTAACTCCTATCTACAGTGGGGAAAAAAAGTATTTAGTCAGCCACCAATTGTGCAAGTTCTCCCACTTAAAAAGATGAGAGAGGCCTGTAATTTTCATCATAGGTACACGTCAACTATGACAGACAAAATGAGAAAAAAAAATCCAGAAAATCACATTGTAGGATTTTTAATGAATTTATTGGCATATGATAGTGGAAAATAAGTATTTGGTCAATAACAAAAGTTTCTCAATACTTTGTTATATACCCTTTGTTGGCAATGACACAGGTCAAACGTTTTCTGTAAGTCTTCACAAGGTTTTCACACACCGTTGCTGGTATTTTGGCCCATTCCTCCATGCAGATCTCCTCTAGAGCAGTGATGTTTTGGGGCTGTCACTGGGCAACACAGACTTTCAACTCCCTCCAAAGATTTTCTATGGGGTTGAGATCTGGAGACTGGCTAGGCCACTCCAGGACCTTGAAATGCTTCTTACGAAGCCACTCCTTCGTTGCCCGGGCGGTGTGTTTGGGATCATTGTCATGCTGAAAGACCCAGCCACGTTTCATCTTCAATGCCCTTGCTGATGGAAGGAGGGTTTCACTCAAAATCTCACGATACATGGCCCCATTCATTCTTTCCTTTACACGGATCAGTCGTCCTGGTCCCTTTGCAGAAAAACAGCCCCAAAGCATGATGTTTCCAACCCCATGCTTCACAGTAGGTATGGTGTTCTTTGGATGCAACTCAGCATTCTTTGTCCTCCAAACATGACGAGTTGAGTTTTTACCAAAAAGTTATATTTTGGTTTCATCTGACCATATGACATTCTCCCAATCCTCTTCTGGATCATCCAAATGCACTTCAGACGGGCCTGGACATGTACTGGCTTAAGCAGGGGGACACGTCTCGCATTGCAGGATTTGAGTCCCTGGCGGCGTAGTGTGTTACTGATGGTTGGCTTTGTTACTTTGGTCCCAGCTCTCTGCAGGTCATTCACTAGGTTCCCCCGTGTGGTTCTTTGATTTCTTCAAACCAAGCTGCTTACCTATTGCAGATTCAGTCTTCCCAGCCTGGTGCAGGTCTACAATTTTGTTTTTGGTGTCCTTTGACAGCTCTTTCGTCTTGGCCATTGTGAAATTTGGAGTGTGACTGTTTGAGGTTGTGGACAGGTGTCTTTTATACTGATAACAAGTTCAAACAGGTGCCATTAATACAGGTAACGAGTGGAGGACAGTGGAGCCTCTTAAAGAAGAAGTTACAGGTCTGTGAGAGCCAGAAATCTTGCTTGTTTGTAGGTGACCAAATACTTATTTTCCACCATAATTTGCAAATAAATTCATTAAAATTCCTACAATGGGATTTTCTGGATTTTTTTTTTCTCAATTTGTCTGTCATAGTTGACGTGTACCTATGATGAAAATTACAGGCCTCTCTCATCTTTTTAAGTCGGAGAACTTGCACAATTGGTGGCTGACTAAATACTTTTTTTCCCCACTGTATCTTCTGATAATTTCCTCATAATCTCCCAGATGTCTTCTTTCCAAATATACCAGGTTTTTGCATGTCAGAATCATGTAATTACACATTAATTTACTTTTGGGTATGTCTATTTAGGTAGAAATCTACATTTTGCCATCACATTTAAGCTTCATTGACCATAATCCATTGCGCGTCTACTTGTCCCGCCTGCAATGTTAGGTTAGTGTGGGGGCAGAGGAGAAATCGAGAAGGGACAGAAGAATGTGCGATCGAGTATAGAGAGCAGTCGCTTTGAGGTACAGTATCTCTACCTGAAAATACGTGAACTAAGTTATTGGTAGTTGGTATTCAGCAGTCAAACAAATATGCCTTATTTACTTTGAAGAACTACTACAATAGTGATTTTTGTCAGACAGCACAGGCAGCAGCTCTATAGAGATGAGATGATGACTTGGAATAAAATAATAGTCAACAAATAAAACAAATGTAATACAGTGCATTCGGAAAGTATTCAGACCCCTTCGCTTTTTCCACATTTTGTTACGTTACAGCCTTATTCTAAAATTGATTAAATACATTTTTTTTCCTTCATCAATCTACACACAATACCCCATAATGACAAAGTGAAAACAGGTTTTTAGAAATGTTTGCAAATATATCAAGCAGAAATACCTTATTTACATAAGTATTCAGACCTTTGCTATGAGACTCGAAATTTAGCTCCGGTGCATCCTGTTTCCATTGATCATCCTTCAGATGTTTCTACAACTTGATTGGAGTCCACCGGTGGTAAATTCAATTGATTGGACATGATTTGGAAAGGCACACACCTGTCTATATAAGGTCCCACAGTTGACAGTGCATGTCAGAGCAAAAACCAAGCCATGACGTCGAAGGAATTGTCCGTAGAGCTCCGAGACAGGATTGTGTCGAGGCACAGATCTGGGGACGGGTACCAACACATTTCTGCACCATTGAAGGTCCCCAAGAACACAGTGGCCTCCATCATTCTTAAATGGAAGAAGTTTGGAACCACCAATACTCTTCCTAGAGCTGGCCCGATGGTCACTCTGCCAGAGCTCCAGAGTTTCTCTGGGGAGATGGGAGAACCTTCCAGAAGGACAACCATCTCTGCAGCACTCCACCAATCAGGCTTTTATGGTAGAGTGGCCAGACAGAAGCCACTCCTCAGTAAAAGGCACATGACAGCCCGCTTGGAGTTTGCCAAAAAGCACATAAAGGACCATGAGAAACAAGATTCTCTGGTCTGATGAAACCAAGACTGAACTCTTTGGCCTGAATGCCAAGCATCACATCTGGAGGAAACCTGGTACCATCCCTATGGTGATGCATGGCGATGGCAGCATCATGCTGTGGGGAAGTTTTTCAGCAGCAGGGATATGGAGACTAGTCAGGATCGAGGGAATGATGAACGGAGCAAAGTACAGAGATCCTTGATGATAAACCTGCTCCAGAGTGCTCAGGACCTCAGACTGGGGCGAAGGTTCACCTTCCAACAGGACAACAACCCTAAGCACACTGCCAAGACAACGCAGGAGTGGCTTCGGGACAAGTCTCTGAATGTCCTTGAGTGGCCCATCCAGAGCCCAGACTTGAACCTGATCTAACATCTCTGGAGAGACCTGAAAATAGCTGTGCAGCGATGCTCCCCATCCAACCTGACTGAGCTTGAGAGGATCTGCAGAGAAGAATGGGAGAAACTCCCTAAATACAGGTGTGCCAAGCTTGTAGCGTCATACCCAAGAAGACTCGAGGCTGTAATCGCTGCCAAAGGTGCTTCAACAAAGTACTGAGGAAAGGGTCTGAATACTTTCCGAATGCACTGTATCTTAACCATGTTTATAAAATGTTACTTTGGATCCTGGATTAGCCAACTGGAATAATATGCACAGTGGAAAATGGTTGACCTCTGACTCATCACACCCATATCCTCCTGTGGAGGCTGGTGGGAGGCGCTATAGGAGGACGGGCTCATTGCAATGGCTGGAATGGAATAATTGGAACATAGTCAAACGTGGTTTTGATACCGTTCCATTAATTCCATTCCAGTCATTACAATGAGCCCGTCCTCCTGTAGCTCCTCCCACCAGCCTCCTCTCATATCCTCCATACATCTTGAAGCCTCAAAGCAAAATAAACAGACTTATTTGCTCAGTGTGTGTCGTGTGTACTGTACTGTGTGTCATCAACCATGTTGCCTATCCACATACTTTTTAGAACAATGAGTGGCAAATTTCACTAATGCATGTTTAGGATTTTATGTTGGCGAATATGAGAGAAGAAAGTTCCCTTTTTATAGCGGCCTTGTTGTGAATGTATTGTCTAGACTGGTGGACATGTTTAGTGTCATTCACCCTCTCCCTCCCCCTTTTCTTACCCTTCACAAAAAAATACAATTAAAAATATGCCATTTAGCAGACGCTTTTATCCAAAGCGACTTACAGTCATGTGTGCATACATTTTTACGTATGGGAGGTCCCGGGGATCGAACCCACTACCCTGGCGTTACAAGTGCCATGCTCTACCAATTGAGCTACAGAGGACCACAACAACCACTCTCTCTCTCTTTCTCTGCTCTGCTTTTCATAGCCCACGCCCACGCCCACCAACCCTTCATTTTCTCTTTGTCTCCATAGCGATCCCGGTAGTGGACAACAGAGGAAGTCCGCCTGCTATCCCCTTTGCATCCACTAACTAAGTCATCATGTCAGCTCCAGGTAAATGCCTTCTTCTCTAATTCTCTGTTGATTTAGATATTAAACTGGGTTGTTGCGATGTCCTCATAAATTGCATCTTTGCAGGATAACTTTTTGCCTGTGTTCATGTTGTGAATGTGAATCTGTTTGCCACCACTAACTTGTGAGTGTGACGTTGTTTAGTTGATGAGGCTCCTGACTGAATGGATAACATCACCTACTCCACATTCCTCGAGGCCCGCAACTGAAACCTTAGCCTCCACAAAAGCGTTCTAATGGAAAAGGATGTTTGAAATGGGTCACGCTTTCAAATAATACCCCCCAACAAATGTCTTTAATAAATTCAAATGTTGATACATCTTAAATATGTAATGACAAATGTTCTTTGCATGCAAAACAATATTCCCATTTGTATTTTTACATTCAGTAGTTTACAAAAGGAAAAAGTGCAAACATCTGTTGATCAGCTGCTATGAACCTTCCCATTCTTGTTCTAGGTGTGTCTGTAATCTGGGGGCAGTTTCTCAGTAAAAAGCTAGTTAACTTGTTCTGTTTTCCTTCCCTGGAGGTAGTGATGGGTCTACAATTCAGTGGGTTGCTATGCTGACATCTGCTATTTTTCAGGTGCAGGTTAAAAAAAAGACCAATCCAATGCAAAGTGACACCAGCACTCAGATTCATACAACCCCAAAACAATGTGTTCCTTATTTGTCACAGGCACTACTTTTAAGAGGGCTTCTCCTCCTCAAAAACCTAGACCAGTGCTCCTTCTCTCCCAAAAGACATCTACATTCTTTTACAATGAAACCGTTTTCTGACTTACCAGGTTGCAATCAGGAAACAAGACACTCCATTACTGTCTGACTGGCTGCATTCTTCCATTTACCAGTCAAATGACTAACAAAATACATTAGGGACTCATGTTAGGAACCTTTGTTTGTCTCTATCCTGACCGTCCTTCAATAACTTGTATAACCTCTGTCAGGGTACTGGCCAGCTAACAGACAGACATTTTTGTCCTGGGAACTGAGTTTAACTTAAGTGTTGTGAGTTTGGTCATAAAATAGGAAATAACCTTGTCTGTAATCATGGGGTTTACGGTCTCTGTCTATGATCTGTCGGTTTTCAACATGACCAGTCAGATTTCAATATTTTAATATCTCCTAATGCTCTAATTGACAGTTTATTATATGAAGCCTGAGGTAATACAAAAGTCATTCTGAGTGTTTAGAGAATGGAATATAAAAAGCAGTACAAATATTTACACTGTGGGGGTGGGCCAGCAGTTCACACCACCCATAGACACATGGATGTTGGTTCGCTGAGGTGTCAAAACAGAAGTGGTGTGGATGTATGAAACCACTGATGGGCAGGAAGTATTTCAGATAGTAACTGTCAAACCTCTGTCTTCTAGATATAATACAGTGGGGGAAAAAAAGTATTTAGTCAGCCACCAATTGTGCAAGTTCTCCCACTTAAAAAGATGGGAGAGGCCTGTAATTTTCATCATAGGTACACGTCAACTATGACAGACAAATTGAGAAAAAAAATCCAGAAAATCACATTGTAGGATTTTTAATGAATTTATTTGCTAATTATGGTGGAAAATAAGTATTTGGTCACCTACAAACAAGCAAGATTTCTGGCTCTCACAGACCTGTAACTTCTTCTTTAAGAGGCTCCTCTGTCCTCCACTCGTTACCTGTATTAATGGCACCTGTTTGAACTTGTTATCAGTATAAAAGACACCTGTCCACAACCTCAAACAGTCACACTCCAAACTCCACTATGGCCAAGACCAAAGAGCTGTCAAAGGACACCAGAAACAAAATTGTAGACCTGCACCAGGCTGGGAAGACTGAATATGCAATAGGTAAGCAGCTTGGTTTGAAGAAATCAACTGTGGGAGCAATTATTAGGAAGTGGAAGACATACAAGACCACTGATAATCTCCCTCGATCTGGGGCTCCACGCAAGATCTCACCCCGTGGGGTCAAAATGATCACAAGAACGGTGAGCAAAAATCCCAGAACCACACGGGGGGACCTAGTGAATGACCTGCAGAGAGCTGGGACCAAAGTAACAAAGCCTACCATCAGTAACACACTACGCCGCCAGGGACTCAAATCCTGCAGTGCCAGACGTGTCCCCCTGCTTAAGCCAGTACATGTCCAGGCCCATCTGAAGTTTGCTAGAGTGCATTTGGATGATCCAGAAGAGGATTGGGAGAATGTCATATGGTCATTTGGTAAAAACTAAACTCGTCGTGTTTGGAGGACAAAGAATGCTGAGTTGCATCCAAAGAACACCATACCTACTGTGAAGCATGGGGGTGGAAACATCATGCTTTGGGGCTGTTTTTCTGCAGAGGGACCAGGACGACTGATCCGTGTAAAGGAAAGAATGAATGGGGCCATGTATCGTGAGATTTTGAGTGAAAACCTCCTTCCATCAGCAAGGGCATTGAAGATGAAACGTGGCTGGGTCTTTCAGCATGACAATGATCCCAAACACACCGCCCAGGCAACGAAGGAGTGGCTTCGTAAGAAGCATTTCAAGGTCCTGGAGTGGCCTAGCCAGTCTCCAGATCTCAACCCCATAGAACATCTTTGGAGGGAGTTGAAAGTCTGTGTTGCCCAGCGACAGCCCCAAAACATCACTGCTCTAGAGGAGATCTGCCTGGAGGAATGGGCCAAAATCAAATCAAATCAAATTTTATTGGTCACATGCGCCGAAAACAACAGGTGCAGACATTACAGTGAAATGCTTACTTACAGCCCTTAACCAACAGTGCATTTATTTTAAACAAAAAAGTAAGAATAAAACAACAACAAAAAAGTGTTGAGAAAAAAAGAGCAGAAGTAAAATAAAGTGACAGTAGTGAGGCTATATATACAGTAAAATAAAGTGACAGTAGGGAGGCTATATATACAGGGGGGTACCGTTGCATAGTCAATGTGCGGGGGCACCGGCTAGTTGAGGTAGTTGAGGTAATATGTACATGTGGGTAGAGTTAAAGTGACTATGCATAAATACTTAACAGAGTAGCAGCAGCGTAAAAAGGATGGGGTGGGGGGGCAGTGCAAATAGTCCGGGTAGCCATGATTAGCTGTTCAGGAGTCTTATGGCTTGGGGGTAGAAGCTGTTGAGAAGTCTTTTGGACCTAGACTTGGCACTCCGGTACCGCTTGCCGTGCGGTAGCAGAGAGAACAGTCTATGACTAGGGTGGCTGGAGTCTTTGACAATTTTGAGGGCCTTCCTCTGACACCGCCTGGTATAGAGGTCCTGGATGGCAGGGAGCTTTGCCCCAGTGATGTACTGGGCCGTACGCACTACCCTCCTGTAGTGCCTTGCGGTCAGAGGCCAAGCAGTTGCCATACCAGGCGGTGATGCAAAATACCAGCAACAGTGTGTGAAAACCTTGTGAAGACTTACAGAAAACGTTTTACCTGTGTCATTGCCAACAAAGGGTATATAACAAAGTATTGAGAATCTTTTGTTATTGACCAAATACTTATTTTCCACAATAATTTGCTAATAAATTCATTAAAAATCCTACAATGTGATTTTCTGGATTTTTTTTCTTCTCATTTTGTCTGTCATAGTTGACGTGTACCTATGATGAAAATTACAGGCCTCTCTCATCTTTTTAAGTGGGAGAACTTGCACAATTGGTGGCTGACTAAATACTTTTTTCCCCCACTGTATGTATGATTACAGTTTGCTTCCCTTCCCACCATTGCAGTCAGACAGATTTGAATGCGGTCTTTTCCTGTAGCCATACTGAATGTCTGTCTGCGTTGCCGTCCAGCCACTTCCTGATAAGAATAGTAAGCAGTGGTCGAGATGTTTTTACTGGAATTAGATTCTGAGCAGGCTGATTGCTGATTCTTGGCAACAGATCCCTCATTTTCCTGTTGCACCATGCAATGCCCCCTGGGTATCCCCCCCCCAGGATTTGTATAATGTTATTATTTCAAAGTATTCTAAATAAGAATTTGAAACCAGAGCTTGGCGTATAAAAGGCTGCCTGTTGATGTTAGCTGTGTGTGAAGATTATTGGGATAATGATGTGGAAACTGAGCTCGGACCGAGTTTGATGGATACAATACCTTTGTTCCTTGCAGTTTCCATTGAAAGAGGGGTGTGGTGTTGGGAATCCATTGGTGTCTTAACAGTATGGCCCACTTTTGTTTAGCAAAACAGTAATTTCCTTTATGTAGAATCTCCAATATACTTCATGAGCCACCAGTTCACACACCCCACGTACTTGCATCTATAACTCCACATTCATATTTCGCTTTTTTATTAATATGAATATATTTATGATACCCACTGTTTGCATTTCCTCCTATAGGTTACCCATCCCCTCACCAGGGTCCTGGAAGTTACTCCATGGCCCCTTACCCTGTTTCTCAGGGGGGGTATGGTGACCCTAACCAAGCTCCCCCACCGGTTGGCTTCCATATGGGCTATGACCACCAACAACCCCAGCCAGGCCAACCTGTGATGTTCCAGCCTGGACCAGTAGGGCAGGGACCAGGTCCCATGCCCATGCCTGAATACGGTGCACCTCAGATGGGTCCTAGCCCAGGCTATGGTGGTCCCATGCCCGGGCCCAAATACGGTGCACCTAACTTGGGCCCTCCTGCAGCCATCTCCCCAGCCCCTGCAGGAGTTGTGCCAGTCGGCGTTCCACCTGGTCTGGAGTACCTAACACAGGTAGGTTAGGCTGGGGAAGAGTGACATAAGAGGTTGTCAAATACACTGATTTCACCAACATAATCTGTTGTCACAGTGTAAATGCTAGGGTTTGTTTTCTTCCATTCTCTCTCTTTCTCCATATCTATCGCTCTCTCTCTCTCTGTGTTTTCCGTGTTTCAGATTGACCAGATCCTTATACACCAAAAAGTGGAGTTGCTGGAAGGTGAGCTTGCTAGTCTTATCTGAGTACAGAGAGATCAGGAAGAAAGGTGATAAAAAATAAATAAAACTGTGGTCATTTTAACGGTCACCCCCCGCCCCCCCCCCCCCCCCCCCCCCCCCCCCTCCGTTTTCCTCTCCTCAGCGTTCATCGGCTTTGAGACCAACAACCAGTACGAGATCAAGAACAGCCTGGGTCAGAAGATCTACATGGCCAAAGAGAAGAACGACTGCTGCACGCGCAACTGCTGCGGCGCCCTGCGCAGCTTCGACATGAAGATCAAGGACAACATGGACAGTGAGGTCATCCGCCTCATACGACCCTTCCGCTGTGCCTCTTGCTGGTGCCCCTGCTGCCTGCAGGAGGTACGATGGAGTTCTGAACACTGACAAATATTTGATTACTTTGACTATATAAAAAACAGGACCCCAACCATGAAAAAAATACACAAAATCATCATGTTGAGTCTTAATATGTTAGACGAGTAGTAAAGGGACAGGTCACCTAAAATGCAATGGGTTTATTTACCCTCAAGTTAGCATTAGCATTGTACATACAAGTGGTAATAAATGCATGCAAACTATTGGACTGGAAGACATTTTGGACTGTCCTAACGTCTCCCCAGTCTCTGTGCTTTGTAAAGACTCATGAATGACACTGAATGGTCCTTTGTCAGTCCGAACCCTCTCCGACTGTCTTGATCTGGTGCCATCACTTCACCTTTTAAGCTCTATTGAATCCCATTTCTGGCATGCTAACTACAGTACATTCCCATGAGATGTCAAGGTCCCTTCTGACTGCACTTTCACACATTAGTTCAGCATCTATGGAGACATAGCCCCACTGTTACCATGTGAAGCATATTACCTTTGTCTTTGCAATGGTTGCTAAGCCAATAGCAGACACCAATGCACTTCTCAAATGAGTGCCATATTTCATGCCAAGGCGAGCTTTGCAGTAACCCAAGCACATGCTATTTAAAGCCACAATGTAAGGACCGAAGCCTGATTTTTAAGCACGGTCAAATACTTTTCTAATTTTCGATGCGTGTCCCTCAGCTCGAGGTCCAAGCCCCGCCTGGCACCACCATAGGCTATGTGTCCCAGGACTGGAACCCCTGTGTGCCCAAGTTCTCCATCAAAGGGGCCAACAAGGAGACCGTGATGAAGCTGGAGGGACCCTGCTTTGCCTGCAACTGCTGCGGGGACGTCAACTTTGAGGTAAGGGGTCATAAACCGAGGGTGAAACCGCTTCATGTCCTCCAATGGAGGCACTTGGGAGTTCAGCTTCCATCAGGTTGACTATTTTTCTCTACCAGATATAAATCCACCTTGACATTTCTTGTAGACCAGAAAAGATTGTTGCCCTATCAGGCAAGGTGGAAAAATAAGCATATTATTATTGTCTACACACCCATCCAATCCTTTAGCTGACGGGGAAAGATGGAGGCAAGCCCATCGGCCGCATCAGTAAGCAGTGGAGTGGCCTGTTAAAGGAGGTCTTCACCGACACGGACAACTTTGGCATCCAGTTCCCCCTGGACATGGACGTCAAGATGAAGGCCGTGCTCATGGGCGCCTGCTTCCTCATTGTGAGTCCATCCGTCTGTTTAAATAAAGATATATTAGATTCAAATGTAGATTTTTCTAATCACAGAACTTGAAGGAGTAAGGCCTATCACTGAGCTGATAAGATTTGCAGTTGTTGGAGGAAATTCTGTTGACATTTTCTTTCCTCTATTTCGCTTCATAGGATTTCATGTTCTTCGAGAAGGTTGGTGACGTGAACCAGCGCAACACTGTCTTCTCGTAACATAGGAAAAAGGAGGAAAAGAAAGACAGAGCGCTTGAGTCAATGCACTCTGTTTTTTAGTTCCTGTTCGGAAACCCACTTTTCTTTTCAGATTCCGGATGAAACTCCTTCCTTATTCCAAAGCTTAGAGGAGCTGCCATTCTATGCCAGCCCCAGAGCTCTTTGTGTGAAACACAACATGAGACCTTATCTGATGAGCTTTCCTTTGCGCCAAAATGGCCTCTCTGGACTGTTTCTGTTTCTCCGTCCAAATGTAAGAATCAGCAACTGTTCTTTTTGGTTCATATCTATGTTTTCTCTTTGTTTTCTTTAATTTATTTCTTTATCTATATACTGTACATGTGGGTTTCAGTACAGTATGGATGAGAAAGTACCAGTTTTATATCAACCTACATTTACATATTCTTAACAAAGGCTCCATTCCAGTTTATTTTTGGGTGACAACCAAGGCAACCATTTTCGAATACCATACAGTTTAAGTAGAAATATTAGATTCTACATTTTGCGATTTCTGTTTTGTCCATATGCATTGATATATTTAGCATCAACATGTCATTCATAAGCCAAATGTATATGTCAATACTGAACCAGCCATCAAATTATTACTGTAGTGATCTAGGTAATTTCATGATTAGTCTAGTACAGGGTTTCCCAAACTCAGGGGGCCTGGGTGCACATTTTGGTTTTTGTCCTAGCACTACACAGCTGATTCAAATAATCAAAGCTTGATGATGAGTTGGTTATTTGAAACAGCTGTGTAGTGCTAGGGCAAAAACTTGGGGGGCCCCCAGGACCGAGTTTGGGAAACCCTAGTCTAGTACTTCTAAAGATTATAGAATTTGCATGTACAATACTATACCAGCTGTGGTCTTATTAGCCACCTTATCATATTTTGTTATGCACATAACCATTTAAAGTATACTTGTAATATAGTGAAAACTGGAGTAGTTTTTGAAAGACTGGGATGCTACCTGTAATGGGAGAAGGCTAATTCTGACTTGGAATGCCTGTGCTAAATGTATAGGAAAATGAAAATCGGATAGTTGTAGATATGTTTACGTATCCTGAAGTGCTCTTTCTCTAGCCTTGTCTCATACAGTATGTGTAACTATGTTACTGTTGTCATGCCACACAGAAGAGTTGGCTACAGCACATGCAGTATGGGACAACAAGGCTACTCTTTCCCTGCCTCTTGGCTTCTGCCTCTTGGCTTCTGTCGCCCTGACTTTACGCATTGTTTGAAGTAGCATGTTCTGTTGCTATGGAGACTGTCTCTCCTCCCTCGGTCACTCCTCCTCCTTCCTCTCTGGAGATTAAATCTGTGCCAGTAGAAAACTGAAAGGCAGAGAGATGGAAGAGGGCATGGTCAGAGGGAGAGAGGGAAACAGAAAAAGAGATGTGTGTAGAGAGAGGGAGTGATAGAGGGAAATAGTGGGTGGGAGAAATGGGGGAGGAAGTTGAGGTTACAGAACATTTGAGGTCAGGCGGTTAGCCCCTTACAGCCTGGAAAACTAGAGTCAGGAAAACACTTTACTTTCCTGTGTAACCATGTTATTATATTAGTGAAAGGATGCCTTACCAATTGTGTGGGGAAGTATACTGTACTCACCCGGCATAGATCCTTAACTGCTGTTTAACAGATTGGGATGTCTGTTTCAATGTCCACTTGCATACTACTTAAAATTAAGTAATGTATTGGCCATGCATTCTAAGTAGTATGGACATTGCAACGTAACCATGTGAGTGGGAGGAGCAAATTAACAGTTCAGTGGAACTGTGGTGCAGATGTTGCCAAGAGCAGTCGTCTTTTGAAACAAAGCGTTAAGCCTTTAACCTTCATTTCACTTATTGGTGTGTCTCAAGTTACCATAGAGATAGATAGAGGACCCTATGTGCACAAAAGCCCGTTCTAGCATGGGCAGCACCATTGAGGACTTTCACCATTTTGAAGTGGTCAACTGGGTGGGACTTCCTATGGGTTAAGGAAGGATCACATAATTCCATCCGGGTCATCAGGAGAGATCAGCCAATGAATTATGCTCGTGAGCAAACATTCCACAACTGCAGGTGACAGTAAATCGCTAACATTGGCTTTATACCTGTTTAAACATACTCCAGGTTGCAGTAAGCACCCTTTTTCAGTTTGTTTAACAACTCATAGGAGTAGATGAAGAAAATGGACTACTTTTAAAGAGTGACTGCCTTTAAAAAGCAAGGAATACCTTTGAAAATGGCAACCATACGAGTCAGTTATTCTAGTGTCAAAATTGACTACAAAGTGTAAATAGGATACTTTTGGTCATAGTCAGTCTTGTCTAAAATTGAGTTTGGAACATATGTGCGTCACAACAGGTAAATTAAGGTTGGGTTTTGATTTGATGATATCCATTTGCCCACTAACATGGGGTAAACAGCTGCAGTGATTGCTCTCTATCCAATAGCATAGACAGTGAGACAGACCTGCCCAGCAGCTCCGACTTTAAGTAAGACAACACGTCTTATTTTACTTGCGAAATACTGCACCAAACACCTTAGTTAGATGTAAAATTGCGCAACTAAAACATCCTCGGCAAAAACGTCAACATTTATTACAGATTTCTTGAGTTGAATCTTAGATTCATTCTGGGGATTTTGAGGAAGTGAAATGGGCTTTTGCGTCTACAGTGTCTCGTGGGGTCAGGAAACATGGTCAGGAAACACACCTCCAAGACTGAAATCAAATGTTTCTAATGAGCAACAGAAAAACACACGTGCCAATCGACATGTTCAGTAGCGCTTTAATGGAGATGCCCGATGCGCTCAGACGCCACAATGGAACAGATACAAAGAAGACTCCTCTATCATTCTCTATGGTCTCAACGGATAACATGGGTGTGCCCCTCAACGGGGTGGGGTTGTGGTTCACAAAAGTGCCTTTTTACATCCCAACTATCTGTCAAAATGTCCAAATTGGTTCCCTATTATAATGCACTACCTTTGGCCAAATGGGGAACAGGGAGCCATTTTGGATGCACAAAGTATGTGTAGATGATTTCTCCAAAGCCACTATCATGACGCATTGAAGTAGTGTCATATTGCTGTGTTTCAATTGAACATAGGCTACACTTTATACAAGGTGAGATTTTATTATTACCATTACTGTACTCTGAATGCGATAGCTTAATGTTCTGTTTGTGTGTAAGCACGACCCCTATCAAGGAAATAGCCAACGGATGTGTTTCTAGTGCATTTTGTACATTTTCATGGGGTGAGTACTGTGTTCTCTTTATGCACTGTTTGTAGTCTTGAAAACCCGACCATAGGCAACAGCAGTGACTGACGCAAACTAGCCACTTGTAAAATGAACTCATTCAAAATAACCTCTGATCTCCATCTTGCTAGCTATTATTTTTTATTCAAGTGGATAAGGTAGTGACGTAGTTCCTCTATGCCAAACTGGCGTTCTTTCACGTCAGATGTGTTGAGGTGAACATTAGAAAATTGTGTGGGGCAACCCGGATGTCTAAAGAGGCCACACTATTTGAGGATAGTGCTCGGTGTGTGCATTAGGCAAATAGGGCAAACATTTAAATACTTTGTGGCAAGTGGAGCTGTTTTGTACCATTTTGTTAGTGAAAGTTTTCCTGCCAACCTTTTCCAAATGTTATGTTTCTTTTACATACAAAAAAACACCTGCACTCCAAATTGTTTGTCAAAATAAATGGCAGATTTAAGTTTTTCTTATTCGATCTTGTTCTGAGGCAGAAACTGTGATTGAGAGATTACTTGCATAAACATAACCAATCTCCACTAGAGGATTTTACGGTACGCTGCAACTAATTAAACCTACACCTCAATAGCCTTTCCTATATGGTTTTTTTTGGTCCTCTCCTGCTGTCTTCTCCCCGCCTTCTGGAAACAGCAGGAAACATTTGCTCTCCTTGAAACCTCTGCTTCTCGCAGTTTTTTTGAGGACCGGAGGAAAGGATGTGCAATATCTGTCCAACCTCAGCTCATTTCAAAGTTGGAGCAGGATTCAATCCGAACCGCATAGTAGCTCGCTTTACATTTAGAGGTAATTTCCAGAGTTGACATTTACAGCGTTAAACCTTGAATGCGATCTCAGCATTGCCGACAGCGCTTAGACAGTATTTGTCAACTTGTTAATAAAAGCCTGGCTCTGGGGTTTGACCTTTCATCTATGAAGTTGTGGGTTCTGCTTCTGACCAGGAAGAGATGTGTGAAGGAATCAGTGGCACAGGTGTAAGGAGCTTGCCTCTGAATCCTGACGTAGGTTCGATCCCAGGCTGGGCACTTGAGTGTGGTTGTGTTGACCCTGCAGTGTTTGGAAGACTAATGGGGGTTGATACTTAGACAGCAGCAGTTATGGGGGAAATTCCCTGAAAAGGGTGGAAACTAAAAAATAATAATTGAGCATACCTGTATTTAAGAATCCACCTTTTTCTGGGAATTTCCCCCCATAACCACTGCTGGTTACTATTTGGGAATTGCAAGGGGGAACCCCAGGATTTAACCACCCCCACTTGTTGCACCCTTCAACCATCTTTGTAGCCACTCCCAGTGGCCTTGACTCACTGACCAGTCCCTGTTGTCCACATAACCATGCTCCAGTGCCGGGTTCGAACCTACAACCCTGTGCTTATGGGTCGAGATCCTTGCAACAGACTCCTTCACACTTCTTACATTTGTCTTTGTAAATTTGACATCGACAATTGGCATAGTCTAGTCTATACTAAAGCACAAGAGACAAGGATCAAACCCATGACCTCTTGGATGGAAGGCAGGGAGCTACAGACTCCTTAACACTTTTATTTTTGACACTTCTCTTTGTATGTTTGACATCGACAGTTGCAGAAATTTGCACTAAAGCAGAAGAGATGTGGATTGAACCAAAAACCTTTGGGTTACAAGGGAGGGACCAAACCCCAGCGCTACTGCCTACATATAAATGGTACTTTTTTCATATGTTTGACATCGACAGTTGCAGAAACATTGAATAAAGCAAAAGGTGAGTTTTGAACCCAAAACCTCTTGGTTGCAAGGCAAGGATCCAAGCCATGAGCCAGCCAGTGCCTTCTCCACACAAGTTGCACATCTCTTTGTAGCTTTGAAATTGACACATAGAAGAAAATAGACTACTTTAAATAAAGAGTGACTGCCTTTAAAAAGCAAGGAATACCTCTGAAAACGGCATCCATATGAGTCAGTTATTCTAGTGTCAAAATTGACTACAAAGTGTAAATAGGATAATTTTGGTCATAGTCAGTCTCGTCTAAAACTGAGTTTGGAACATACGTGCGTCACAACGGGTAAATGAAGGTTGGGTTTTGATTTGATGATATCCATTTGCCCACTAACATGGGGTAAACAGCTGCAGTGATTGCTCTCTATCCGATAGCATAGACAGTGAGTCAGACCTGCCCAGCAGCTCCAAATTTGTTTAAGTGAGAAAACACGTCGCATATTTTACTTGCGAAATACTGCACCAAACACCTTAGATGTAAAATTGCGCAACTAAAACATCCTCGGCAAAAACGTCAATATTAATTACAGACACCAACATAGAAGAAAGCAAAGGCAAGGTTTAAACCCACAACATTTTGAAGTAAAGGGTAGGAGCTAGGGAAGGAGACTAGGGGCCATAATGGAATTGGGCCCATGACTTTAAACAAATGTTGTGTGGAGACTGGAGATAAAGAAGAAAAGCCTGTAAGGCAGGATACATTTTTCCAATTAGTAACAGATGTCATTCATTTAACAGGGCTTCATAAACACTGCTCTCCACCCCACCCTCAGTGGCCTAGCTGTCTCTGTCTCTCACAAAACCTAGGCCGGGATTCAATCCGATCGCAGGTTATAGACATTGCGGCTTTGAAAGGCAAATCCCATTCTCGGTAAACACTGCATATGTTGGCTCAATCGGCAATTGCCTTTAAAGCTAGAGATGTTTTTTTTTTGCATGGGCTGCATCTCAATCCACCACATAAAAGCTGCAATGCCTATAACTTGTGACGGATTGAATCTCGGCCCTAGTGTAAAACTACAGGTCACACTGAACGAAAGATACAAAACTGGTCTATTTACCACAAATAATAATTGTTTGACCTAATACAAATACAAAACACTTTCCCCAAATAGTGCATAAAGCAGGGGTAGGAAACCCTGTTCCTTGAGTGCTGCAGGTACTGCAGGATGTTGTCAAAATTAGGCACCACACTGAGCTAATTGATCAGTTCAGTGATTGTCTAAATTCAACACACCTGGTTAAAAAGATGAACTGCTGCGGTACTCCAGAACCAGGGTTGCCTACCCCTGGCATAAAGAGTCAACTTCATACTCACCCCATGAACAAATCAATTACACTAGGAATACACGAGAGAGATGTCCCAATCAGATCTGGGTTCAAATACTATTTGTGTAGGCATTCACCTTTGTGAACGTGACACCCCTAGTTCTAATATGAAATACAATGATTCATACATGTACAGTGGTCTATAGTTTAGGCAAAGATTCAATCCGATAGGAGGTTATAGGCTATGCGGCTTTTAAAAAAGTGGATTTTTTTGTATGTTCCTGCGTTTGCGGAGATCGCATTTACTGTTAAATGCTGAATACAGGTGCAGCTCAATACATTTGAATATTATGGAAAAGTTAAGTAATTTCAATAATTCAAATTGACAAAGTGACACTCATCGTGGATTAATTACACAAAAAGTGAAATAGTTCAAGCCTGTATTTGTTTTAATCTTGATGATTAGGGCTTACAGCTCATGAAAACCCCAAATTCAGTAGCTCAGAAAATTAGAATATTGTGAAAAAGTTCAATATTGTAGACTCAAGGTGTCACATTCTAATCAGCTAACTAATTCAAAACACCTGCAAAGGTTTCCTGAGCCATTAAATGGTCTCTCAGTCCAGTTCAGTAGGCTTCACAATCATGGGGAAGACTGACTTGAGGGAGGTGGATCATATCCATAGGCTGCTAGAACTCGAGCTTGAGGCAGGCAACCTCGGCGGGTCGGCAGACTGGGAGAGATCCGCTGCCCTAAAGGCGCAGCTAAGGGAGGTGCATGAGCGGAAGACTCGCGCTTTCTTGATGCGGGCGCGTAGTGGTTTTATAGAACACGATGAAACATGTTCGGCCGTGTTCTTTAAAATCAGTAAGGGAAAGGCAGAGTAGGAAGGTAATGTATGGGGTTAGGGAAGAAAGCGGTAGAGTAGTGAGAGAGACGGAGGAAATGGTCAAGGTGACCACGGAGCATTTCCGAGGTTTCTTTCAAGAGAGGGCAGTAGATGTAGAGCAGGGAAACGTGTTTTTAGAACACCTGTCCCGGCATGTGCCGGAAGACATTAGAAAAGCAATGGAGGCTGAGATCTCCCTAGAAGAGGTTGAGAGCGCCCTCAGGAGGATGGGACAAGGGCAGGTGCCCGGGATGGATGGGTTGCCGGCTGAGTTTTACCTCAAGTTTTGGGGTATACTTGGGCCAGTAGTCCTCGAAGTCTTGAAGGCCATCCTCGAGACAGGAGTCCCGGGGGGATCGATGGCCGTAGGTGTGCTGTCACTTCTGTACAAGAAGGGGGACGCCACAGATCTCGGCAACTGGCGGCTGTTGACCATGCTGTGCGTAGACTACAAGCTACTTGCGAAGGTTCTAGCGGACCGGTTGCGCACAGCCCTTCCCTACGTCGTCCGTGAGGATCAGACGTGTGGGATAGAGGGACGCTCTATTAGGTGGAACCTGAGTTTGATCAGGGACTCCATTGCTTGGGCAGAGGATAGAGGGCTGCCGCTAATGGTAGCAGCACTCGACCAGGCTAAAGCCTTTGATCGAGTGAATAGATATTTTCTTTTCAGGGTGTTAGGTTTTGTGGAGAAGTATATAGGGTGGATCCGTGCTTTATATGTCGGAGCAGGGTGCCGGGTGAACGTAAACGGTCACATGGGTGACGTTTTTGACCTCGAGTCTGGGGTCAGGCAGGGGTTCCCGCTCTCGGCACTCCTCTTCGTTCTGTACATGGAGCCTCTGGGGGCTGCCATTAGGCAGAGGGTGGAGGCATGCTTATCCCTGGAAGCGGTGGGCTGCATGTTAAGATGACCCAGTACGCAGACGACACTTCCTTGTTGCTATGCAAGAACTTGTGCCTGACTAGGTCCCTTGCCATCATAGGGGAATTCACCCTAGCATCGGGAGCGGTCTTCAATCACGCTAAGTCATCCGTTAAGTATTTCGGAAGATGGCGTTGGGAGGACGGATGTGCCTGGGGGGGGTTCTCTCTCTGTAGTGGGGCCCTGAAGATTCTCTGGGTCCTTTTTGAGACCTCTGGCTCAGCGACACTGAACTGGAACAGGAGCATCGCAGTGGTGCAGAGGAAGGTGGGGATGTGGAGGGCTAGGTCATTGTCTTTTATAGGCAAGGTCCTGGTCCTCAAGGTGGATGTGTTGCCGTCACTATTGTATATGGCGTACGTCTACCCATTGCCAGAGAGTCTGAGTGCCTCTAGTGAGGCTGGTGTTCCAGTTCATGTGGGGTGGCAGGCAAGAGTATGTCGCGAGGGTACGCATGCTCTGTCCCATCGGGGTAGGGGGGGTACCACATTTCCCCCTAAAGCTGGATTCAATTTTTGTTTCATATTTGTTGACTGAGCTGGCTCATCCGGTAATACACCCGTCTGGTTACTTCCTGCGGGTGTTCTTCTCTTACCAGGCGAGAAGCGTAATGGTGTGGACTAACACGGGTCCTCGGGCGGAACAGCTGCCGTGGCACTTTGGCTATGCGGCTAAGTGGCTGCGTGGTCACCCCGAGGTTGAAGTAGCCCGAGTAGGTTTAGATCACAGGCACCTGTACGAGGAGATGAGACGGGGAGGGTGTCCCGGGCCGGTATTGGGTATCCCGGCTGGGGTTTGGGAAGGAGTGCAGGTGCAAGGTCTGGATAACAGGCTCAAGGACCTGAATTGGTTGAGCCTCCATAAGGGCTTGCCCGTACGGGCGTGGCTTGACTCGATCCCCCACCTGCCCAAGGCCAACTTGTGGCGGGGAGGAGACAGTGCGCCATGTTTTTTGGGACTGTGCTTTCGCCGGGGTAGTATGGGCTAGGGCACAGGGTCTGATAGGCAGGGTGAGAGGGGATTTTGTGGTTACATGGGCTAGGGTAGAGAGAGGGGTAGGGAGAGCGAGGGGGACGGTTAGGGACAGGTTTCTGCTCTGGCTTCTCATAAGCCTCTTTAAACAGGGGTTGTGGGAGGCTAGGCAGAAATTGGAAAGGACAGGGGGAGAAGGGGGTGTGGAGGGGATAGTGAGGAGGGTGGAGAGAAATTTGAGGGGGAGGATGAAGGAGAGGAGAAGAAGTGGGGGCAGCATGCTGCTCGGGAGGTGGAAGGGGTTTAGGGTTAGTGTAGAGGGGGGGGTTGGTTAGGTTTAGTATAGAGGGGTAGGGAGGAGGGTGTGAGGGTGTGGTTTTGTGGCTGGGTAAAAGGGGAGGAAGGTGTCCCTGAGGTGTATTTAGTATTATGTTTGTGGCGGTATATAAGATGTGACTTTTTTGTGGCTCAGTGGGTAGAGCGTGGCGTTTGTAACACCATGGTTGTGGGTTCGGACCCCGGGGCCGCCCACGTAAAATGTAAGCACGCATGACGGGAAGTAAGCGTCTGCAAATGGCATAGTTTTTGATTATATTGTTGGGATATGGTTGGGTCGGTATATAGATGTGAATTTTTCTGTTGTTTTTCGTAGTCCTATGTGGCTCAGTGAGTAGAGCATGGTGGCTTTTGTAACGCCAGGGTAGTGGGTTCGGTCCCTGGGGCCGCCCACATGTAAAATTTACGCAAGCATGACGGTAAGTACAGCGTCTGCTAAATGGCATAGTGTTTAATTATTATGATGGGGTTGTTGGTTGGTTGGTTAATAGTGATGGGGTGGTGGAAAGAGGAGGATGAGAGGATACAGGAGTGAGTATGGTGTGGCGTGATGCAAATATTGTATGGAAATGAAATGATTTATGATGTATGGTTTTTGTACGATTTTAATAAAACCCCTTAAATCAGAAGACAGTCATCAACACCTTCCACAAGGAGGGAAAGCCTCAAAAGATCATTGCTAAAGAAGCTGGCTGATCACAGAGTGCTGTATCCAAGCATATTCATGGAAGTCGAGTGGAAGGAAGAAGTGTCGTAGGAAAAGGTGCACAAGCAACAGGGATAACCGGAGCCTTGAGAGGATTGTCAAGCAAAGGCCATTCAAAAATGTGGGGGAGCTTCACAAGGAGTGGACTGAGGCAGGAGTCAGTGCATCAAGAGCCACCACGCACAGACGTATCCAGGGAATGGGCTACAACTGTCGCATTCCTTGTGTCAAGCCACTCCTGAACCAGAGGCAACGTCAGAAGCGTCTTACCTGGGCTAAGGAGAAAAATAACTGGTCTGTCGCTAAGTGGTCCAAAGTCCTCTTTTCAGATGAAAGTAAATGTTGCATTTCATTTGGCAATCAAGGTCCCAGAGTCTGGAGGAAGAGTGGAGAGGCACAGAATCCAAGTTGCTTGAAGTCCAGTGTGAAGTTTCCACAGTCAGTGATGATTTGGGGAGCCATGTCATCTTCTGGTGTTGGTCCACTGTGTTTCATCAAGTCCAAAGTAAACTCAGCCATCTACCAGGAAATGTTAGAGCACTTCATGCTTCCTTTTTTTTTTTTTTGTGATCCAATTGACATTTTAGTCATTTAGCAGACACTCTTATCCAGAGCGACTTACAATTAGGGAGTGCATACATTTTTCATACTGGCCCCCCGTGACAAGCTTTATGGAGATGCTGATTTCATTTTCCAGCAGGACTTGGCACCTGCACACACTGCCAAAGGTACCAATACCTGGTTCAATGACCGTGGGATTACTGTGCTTGATTGGCCAGCAAACTCGCCTGATCTGAACCCCATAGAGAATTTATGGGGTATTGTCAAGAGGACGATGAGACACGAGACCCAACAATGCAGACGAGCTGAAGGCCGCTAACGAAGCAACCTGGGCTTCCATAACACCTCAGCAGTGCCACAGGCTGATCGACTCCATGCCATCCGCATAGATGCAGTGATTCATGCAAAAGGAGCCCCAACCAAGTACTGACTGCATGTACAAGAACATACTTTTCAGAAGGCCAACATGTCTGTATTAAATTTCATTTTTTCACTGCTCTTATGTCATATTCTAATTTTCTGAGATACTGAATTTTGGGTTTTCATGAGCTGTAAGCCATAATCGTCAAGATTAAAATAAATACAGGCTTGAACTATTTCACTTTTTGTGTAATTAATCCACGATATGAGTTTCACTTTGTCAATTGAATTATTGAAATTACTTAACTTTTCCACAATATTCTAATGTATTGAGCTGCACCTGTATGTCGGCTCAATGGGAAATTGTCTTGTGGTTTCAAAGCATGATCAATTAGTTTTTTTGTAATTGTGAATCTCAATTACACAGATTCGTGCTTGATTTTAAAGAGGTCCTGGTTGACGGTTCAAACCTCATACCTTGTTGTTTTTTGCACATTCATTTTCCCGAACCCAAAATAGTAGTGGCAGAGTGCCAGGGGAGCCTGAAAGGAGTAAGGCAGGTTCACGACATAAGGGAGGCGTTCTCATTACTCCCATCTTGCTGGAAGCATGCTGAAGTACAGGTTAACATAAGGCCACCTCCCTCCATAGTGGTGTTAGATTCTCCAGCCCTGTGTGACCAGCTCCTGCTGTAGTTTTATAGACAGCATAATGTGAAGCTTACAACCCTCAACCAAAGAGGTCAATAAGGAAGTCAAAGCAGTGAGAAATGCCCAAACACTTCCTGTGAAAGGAAATTATATCACACTGTGTACCCTCTTGATTCTACAACATCCCAGCTGTACCGACTTTGTGTAGAATTGAGGGGCATGAGCCACATGTACACCACTAGCTCATGCACATTTTGTATCAACAATTTAGTCAACAAATATAATCAATGTTAATACAATATATACAAATTAATCATGATACAACTATTTTTGAGAACAGAGGATGTGGCAGTTTGTCACTTCGTTAAAAAAAATACTGTTAACAGAACTGTAAAAAAATGATAAAAATAGTATTTTGGAGGACTGTAATGTCTATGGTTCACTCCATATATATTCAATTCATTTTGCATCCTCCTTCCATCTATTCAATTCCTAAAATTCCTTGTCAGTTCCTCTTAAATGTTGTAAAGCTTTCTTGTCCCCAGTTTCCAGTATTCCTCCATCCCTGCACCTCTCATTCTCCTCCTTGTCTCTCCATGGCAGCAGGGGATGCCTCTCTCTCTCCGTCCCTCCTCTTCCTCTCTCCTCCTCCAGTCCTGTCCTCCCGTACCATTCTGATCAGGTAGCGACTGGCCTGCTCTAGATCCCACTGGTAGCGGGACAGGATCATGGCGCAGTGGTCACGAGAACACAGACTCAGAGAGTACAGGTGCTCCATCTGAGAGGGAAGGAGAGAGAAGAAAAGAGAGAGAGCGAGAGGAGTGAGCACAAGGTTGGGGCATCATATTTAGTATTAATTACAAACACAGCTGATCCAAATACTTTTTTTTTTTTTTTAGGGGGTAGATCAGCTTTAATATTGCAGATAGATTGTAACTTCCATTAATGTAATTGTCTGCATCACTTCAAATCCCCCATATGTTTTTTTCTCTCGCATATATATATATATATATATATATATATATATATATATATATATATATATTATACATACATATATAATATACATACATACACATCCTTTATTAAAATATATTTCCCTTTATTACTTTCCAACCCCACCACCCCTCCCCTAATTGGAGTAAACTAGTGAACAACAATGCTTAGGCCTCTACTTCCAGCTTATTCATACTATATACATTTTATGGACACAGTCAATTCTACAATAATTATATTTTGTTTGTTTTTACTCCTGAACTTCCTCTACCCTCAACCTTCTATGATCATTTTTATGATGTCCATCTGGTTTGCTTCTATATTCCATATCTTTCTAACTGTGCTCTTTCACAAAAGCTCTGAACCTATAACCTATATACTTATTATGGACACAGTATGCTTTACATTAGTTATCTTGTTATTAGTTGTTATTAGTCCCATCCTTCAACTCCATTCAACACCTCCCATCTATCTCTTAACACCATCCATATTGGATTTCTATTTGCCATATTTTTCAACTGTACTGTGATGTTTTACAAAAGTTAGGAACCCTTCTATTCTCATTGTTTCTACAGATTGTAAATTGAGAATAAATTTTTTTGCTAAAAGTATTATTATATTATTGATCGATTGACTATGACTTTTCAGATCACCCAGTAGTGCTATCTGCAGGGTTAGCTCCAGGTAAATATTGCAATCCTTTAGCCATTCCTGGACCTGTGTCCAAAAACAAGCTACAAATGGACAGTACCAAAACAAATGATCTAATGATTCTGTCTCTTCGCAGCAAAATCTTGTATAATAATTTAAATTGAAAAATTCGAAGTTTTGAATCCGGCGTCGTTTTGCGTATCAGTTCATAAACACTATGCCATGGAATCGGTACGTCAAAAATCTATTCCGAACTATTTTGCAATCTATTTGGGACGGCTGTCAATCCTTTGGTCCTTAAATGAAATTGGTATACTTTTTTATTTATCACAATTTTCTTTAACCAATTATGTTCTTTAATGCAGGGCCGACAGACAAGTTCCTTACTCTTTCCTCTTCCATTTTCGCAGTAATGCTGCAATTATTTGGTTGTAATACCTAATTTTTGTATTCTTAGTAAACTACGTTGCTCAATGGAGAATACATTTTAAGTATATGTAAATAAAATATGCATTATTACATAAGAATTATAAGAGAAATTCTGTCTCACCTTGAGTTGTTGCTGGGCCCTTATAGGGTTCCACTCATTGCGGCGAAGTGCGTTCCGAACCTCCTCATTGGTCACTCCATGCACTGCCTCCATGACCTGACCAATCAGAATACCTTAGTATGTTAGACCAATTAAAAGAGCCTGAATTGTCTTAAGACCTCAAGAACTAAAGACCATACATCCATTCCATACCTGTGCTATGACGGCTTCCCTGGTGCGTTGCACATGAGGCGGGTACCTCTCCCTCTCTCGTTCCCTCACCACCCTCTCCTTTTCTTGATCCCTCTCCTTGTTCCCATAGTCATCCAGTGCTGGTGTTGACCGTGCCATGTGGGCCATCTTGCCCAGATTACTTCCCCCCATGGTCTGCGGTGGTTGAGGCTGGGCTGGCTGTAGCATCTGCTGCTGTGGATGTGTTGGAGGCTGTGGAGGCCACAAGGTGCCTGGGACTGGATTTGCAGTAGGCCTCTGATCTCGGATCATCACCTGGGGGATCTTGAAGCGTTTGAGGTTGGGCAGGGGCGGGCGAGGCGGGGGGTTGATGCTGGCCTCGCTGAACCTACGGGGGTCCTGCTGCATCACCGTGCTGCGGGCCACCATGGCACTGGGGACGGGTCCACGACGGGGGTCCACCCTGACCCCTACTACCGTCTGAATCCTGCTCTGGGGATCGCTCAGGACAGACTCCAGACTCCTGGACATACCTGGGGACAGAGGGATAGTTCTATTAAACACATTTATTTATTTTGTACAAAACATGTACAGTATACAGCATGTGTGTGGGGGGGGGGGGGGTTGTCCCTAGTTGGTATCGAAATTGCGACCCTTTGCTCTCGATGCCAGTAGAAGATGGAGAACATGTTAGTATCAGCCATATGTTGATCAAAGAGCTCTGCTTGACGTCGTTACCTGACATTTTCTGTAAGTTGGAGCCCTCCTCCTCTCTAGCTCTGTTTGCTGGGCCGCTCCTCCAGGTTACGCTCCTGAAAAGGTCAGATAACAAAACACAGGTAAATACACACTGATCATGGGCAATGTTCCCTCTAAGCTGTGCGTGGGCCGCAGCTCCCCCGGGACTGCTGTGCAGAAGAAATATCAGCTCGTGCAGAGAAGCACGAGATTCAACTTTCTAGAGTTTTCCCCATTAGTTAACACTATCAACGTTTCCCTTTTCTGATGGACTTGTGATCGAATCAACGCAATATTAGCCACTTTCAATGCACCGAAACAAAACGAACTATGCAAGACTTAGTATGCAAAACTAACTATGCAAGAGATGTTGTTGTAGGCAGAACACATCGGAGTAGGATTCTATTGCATTGACAGGCACGACTCAGGCCCGTACTCTACACAGACCGTTGCGCAATAACGAATCAGAGCTGCAGTAGGCCTATAAACAAATAGACAATTGCCATATATGGATCAGTGCCATTCACTTTGAACTGGACTGTGTTTATAGCATGAGCGGTCTTGAGTAGATGCGCTTGTTTTGAGATCAAAGCGAGAGCTGCATGTAGCCAGGTGTGCACATTGTTAATATCCTTTGCTAGTTAGTGAATTATTAGCCCAGTTATTGATAATGTGTAGTCAGCAATAGGGGAGTGATTGCTTCCTACAAGAGCACTAAACTTTGAAAAGCGAGTCAGGTAAAGATATTTTTTTTGTCTTAAAGGGGCAGTGTTGTATTTTGAGACAGGCTTGAATAAGCTAAGTAGACTAGGCAGAGGGTAGCATAATTTGTCTGATTCTCTGTAATAATGATTGGGAATAATGATGCATTTTATTTTGTAAAGTGGATTCTTGCATCAAACAACAACATTTTGAGTCACCTTGTCTGAAGGACAAGTGGGTAAACAGGTTAATGTCAAGCCCTGCATGTAGGCCTACATTGAACACCACACATTGGCTGCATCTGTAGGCTGAACGAGCTATTTCCATGTTAAAATGTTATGGGATGCATTTTCTCCATTGTTTTTGATGGTAGGCCACTCTGGTAGGCCTACATTATGATTAAATAGCCACAGTAGCCTACTTGGCCACTGTTAAAACTGTAACTTAAAGCGGGTACAGCCTCAGTGTTCACAGTAAACGCGCGTTGGAAGTTGCACAGAATTTTCACAACATTCAAGTTTGCGCTCAGCACACCTGAAATTTGCTCAGTGATGAAAATTGTAGAGGGAACATTGGTCATGGGCCATAGGATGTACACTCAAAGGTTTAAAGTCATACTACATTCATCATATAGCTATGGGTTGGGTAGGTTGTTACATTTCCTCATGGTGGAATGTTTACAAAAGAAAACTGCTGAATACTAAGTGGAAAGCTATCAAGTTTGGAGGTAGGTGGTTAATTCACCAGCTAAGACCCTCCTGCAGTCGGTTTCTGCCTTAACTAACTCGTCATTGTCAAACATTGCAAGAAAACAGCGCTGTTGAATGCAGGAACCAAGGATAGCATACAACATGATTAAAGCCCAGCAGCAAAACATTATCCAAGCCTTATCGAAACCTAATTCAAAACTTGACTGACTCATCGAGGCGCTCCGGGGTGCCCCAGCTACGGTCGGGGTGGGTGTCTCCATGCCCTGTGTGCTGCAGACTGCCCCTCAGAGGGGGAGAGATGAGGCTGGAGGCAGAAGGACCAGGGGCAGCAGGAGGAGCAGGGGAGCTGCTGGGGGCAGCCAGGCTCGGGGGGAACCAGCCCACTGTCAGGGTCCTCTGGTTCTGACCCTTCCACTCACACAGCTCCAGACTACAGGAGAACAATCACATTAAGAAACCAGTGAATATCATACAATTTCAACCAATGATTTATAACTGTTTATACTGACTTATAGACTAACTAAAAATATCAACTGCTCATAAATCCTTAACCACCCTCTTGACACAATTTTACAAAAGTCCCTGCATAATGTAAATTGTTAGCCAAGTTAATAAAAGGAGAGAGAGCGTAGTGTAATTGTAAGATTCTCGTGATAAAGATTTTGATAATACCCCCCCTCTCAAGAATTACCACAAGGGGGCAAGAATGTGAGGATTAGGGTTAACAGTCAAATCAGGGTTGGAATGCAGTTCAAGAGTGGAGCTCTTTGAAGGAACAGGTTTAACGAATGAACCCCTCTTTCTTTATGTCCATAAATGTTTCCCTTCTTCCCATCCCCCTCTCTCTCACCCATGGTCTATGACAGTCACTAGGTCTTTGGACAGCAGAGTGAGTTTCCTAGGTTCCGCAAAGTCCCTCACAGCACGCACCTCCATAGGCTGAGCCTGGATAGAGGGAGCAGGGGAGGGGAAAACCATTTAAGTCCGTCTCAAAGTGAAAATGCCCTGTATTTTGGTCACTGCCGACATGCTTAAAAAGTAAACATGTTTAGGAACCACTGGATTAGAGCAGGGTTTCCCAAACTCAGTCCTGGGGCCCCCCCCTGGGTGCACGTTTTGGTTTTTGCCCTAGCACTACACAGCGGATTCAAATAACCAACTTATCATTAAAGCTTTGATTATTTGAATAAGCTGTGTAGTGCTAGGACAAAAAACAAGACGTGGGGCCCAGGACCGAGTTTGGGAAACACTGGACTAGAATGTATTATGTGAGTATAATGTAAATGTTAGTATGTATGTATGTATGTATGTATGTATGTATGTATATATATATATAACTTTTGACCAGTAGTGAGTGAGTGAGTTTAGATATATATATATATACACACACACACACACACATACACAACCGGTCAAAAGTTTTAGAACACCTACTCATTCAAGGATTTTTCTTTATTTTTTACTAATTTCTACATTGTAGAATAATAGTGAAGACATCAAAATAACACATTTGGAATCATGTAGTAACCAAAAAAAGTGTTAAACAAATCAAAATATAGAGATTCTTCAAATAGCCACCCTTCGCCTTGATGACAGCTTTTCACTCTCTTGGCATTGTCTCAACGAGCTTCACCTAGAATGCTTTTCCAACAGTCCACATATGCTGAGCACTTGTCTGCTGCTTTTCCTTCACTCTGCGGTCCAACTCATCCCAAACCATCTCAATTTGGTTGAGGTCAGGGGATTGTGGAGGCCAGGTCATCTGATGCAGCACTCCATCACTCTCCTTCTTGGTAAAATAGCCCTTACACAGCCTGGAGGTGTGTTGGGTCATTGTCCTGTTGAAAAACAAATGATAGTCCCACTAAGCCCAAACCAGATTGGATGGCGTATTGCTGCAGAATGCTGTGGTAGCCATGCTGGTTAAGTGTGCCTTGAATTCTAAATAAATCACAGACAGTGTCACCAGCAAAGCACCCCCACCTCCTCCTCCATGCTTCACGGTGGGAAATACACACGCAAAGTTTCTCTTCATCCACATTGCGTCTCACAAAGACACAGCGGTTGGAACCAAAAATCTCAAATTTGGACTCCAGACCAAAGGACACATTTCCACCAGTCTAATGTCCATTGCTCGTGTTTCTTGGCCCAAGCAGGTCTCTTCTTCTTTTTGGTGTCCTTTAGTAGTGGTTTCTTTGCAGCAATTCGACTATGAAGGCCTGATTCACACAGTGCCCTCTGAACAGTTGATGTTGAGATGTGTCTGTTACTTGAACTCTGTGAAGCATTTATTTGGGCTGCAATTTCTGAGGCTGGTAACTCTAATGAACTTATCCTCTGCAGCAGAGGTAACTCTGGGTCTTCCATTCCTGTGGCAGTCCTCATGAGAGCCAGTTTCATCATAGCGCTTGATGGTTTTTGCGACTGCAAGAACTTTCAAAGTTCTTGAGATTTTACGTATTGACTGACCTTCATGTCTTAAAGTAATGATGGACTGTCGTTTCTCTTCGCTTTTTTGAGCTGTTCTTGCCATAATATGGACTTGGTCTTTTACCAAGTAGGGCTATCTTCTGTATAGCCCCCTACCTTGTCACAACACAACTGATTGGCTCAAACGCATTAAGAAGGAAATAAATTCCACTAATTTAATTTTAAGAAGGCACACCTGTTCATTGAAATGCATTCCAGGTGACTACCTCATGAAGCTGGTTGAGAGAATGCCAAGAGTGTGCAAAGCTGTCATCAAGGCAAAGGGTGGCTATTTGATGAATCTCAAATATAAAATATATTTTGATTTGTTTAACACTTTTTTGGTTACACTATGAAATACAATGTAGAAAATAGTAAAAAATAAAGAAAAACCCTTGAATGAGTTGGTGTGTCCAAACTTTTCACTGGTTATGTATGTATGTATGTATGTATGTATGTATGTATGTATGTATGTATGTATGTATGTATGTACGTACAGTGGGGAAAAAAAGTATTTAGTCAGCCACCAATTGTGCAAGTTCTCCCACTTAAAAAGATGAGAGAGGCCTGTAATTTTCATCATAGGTACACGTCAACTATGACAGACAAAATCAGGAAAAAAAATCCAGAAAATCACATTTTTTATGAATTTATTTGCAAATTATGGTGGAAAATAAGTATTTGGTCAATAACAAAAGTTTCTCAATACTTTGTTATATACCCTTTGTTGGCAATGACACAGGTCAAACGTTTTCTGTAAGTGTTCACAAGGTTTTCACACACTGTTGCTGGTATTTTGGCCCATTCCTCCATGCAGATCTCCTCTAGAGCAGTGATGTTTTGGGGCTGTCGCTGGGCAACACGGACTTTCAACTCCCTCCAAAGATTTTCTATGGGGTTGAGATCTGGAGACTGGCTAGGCCATTCCAGGACCTTGAAATGCTTCTTACGAAGCCACTCCTTCGTTGCCCGGGCGGTGTGTTTGGGATCATTGTCATACTGAAAGACCCAGCCACGTTTCATCTTCAATGCCCTTGCTGATGGAAGGAGGTTTTCACTCAAAATCTCATGATATATGGCCCCATTCATTCTTTCCTTTACACGAATCAGTCATCCTGGTCCCTTGCAGAAAAACAGCCCCAAAGCATGATGTTTCCACCCCCATGCTTCACAGTAGGTATGGTGTTCTTTGGATGCAACTCAGCATTCTTTGTCCTCCAAACACGATGAGTTGAGTTTTTACCAAAAAGTTCTATTTTGGTTTCATCTGACCATATGACATTCTCCCAATCCTCTTCTGGATCATCCAAATGCACTCTAGCACGGGCCTGGACATGTACTGGCTTAAGCAGGGGGACACGTCTGGCACTGCAGGATTTAAGTCCCTGGCGGCGTAGTGTGTTACTGATGGTAGGCTTTGTTACTTTGGTCCCAGCTCTCTGCAGGTCATTCACTAGGTCCCCCCGTGTGGTTCTGGGATTTTTGCTCACCGGTCTTGTGATCATTTTGACCCCACGGGGTGAGATCTTTCGTGGAGCCCCAGATCGAGGGAGATTATCAGTGGTCTTGTATGCCTTCCATTTCCTAATAATTGCTCCCACAGTTGATTTCTTCAAACCAAGCTGCTTACCTATTGCAGATGCAGTCTTCCCAGCCTGGTGCAGGTCTACAATTTTGTTTCTGGTGTCCTTTGACAGCTCTTTGGTCTTGGCCATAGTGGAGTTTGGAGTGTGACTGTTTGAGCTTGTGGGCAGGTGTCTTTTATACTGATAACAAGTTCAAACAGGTGCCATTAATACAGGTAACGAGTGGAGGACAGAGGAGCCTCTTAAAGAAGAAGTTACAGGTCTGTGAGAGCCAGAAATCTTGCTTGTTTGTAGGTGACCAAATACTTATTTTCCACCATAATTTGCAAATAAATTCATAAAAAATCCTACAATGTCATTTTCTGGAATTTTTTTCCTCAATTTGTCTGTCATAGTTGATGTGTACCTATGATGAAAATTACAGGCCTCTCTCATCTTTTTAAGTGGGAGAACTTGCACAATTGGTGGCTGACTAAATACTTTTTTCCCCCACTGTATGTACAGTGGGGAGAACAAGTATTTGATACACTGCCAATTTTGCAGGTTTTCTTACTTACAAAGCATGTAGAGGTCTGTAATTTTTATCATAGGTACACTTCAACTGTGAGAGACGGAATCTAAAACAAAAATCCAGAAAATCACATTGTATGATTTTTAAGTAATTAATTTGCATTTTATTGCAGGACATAAGTATTTGATCACCTACCAACCAGTAAGAATTCCGGCTCTCACAGACCTGTTAGTTTTTCTTTAAGAAGCCCTCCTGTTCTCCACTCTTTACCTGTATTAACTGCACCTGTTTGAACTCGTTACCTGTATAAAAGACACCTGTCCACACACTCAATCAAACAGACTCCAACCTCTCCACAATGGCCAAGATCAGAGAGCTGTGTAAGGACATCAGGGATATAATTGTAGACCTGCACAAGGCTGGGATAGGCTACAGGACAATAGGCAAGCAGCTTGGTGAGAAGGCAACAACTGTTGGCGCAATTATAGAAATGGAGAAGTCAAGATGACGGTCAATCACCTCGGTCGGGGCTCGCAAGAATGGCAAGTAGGGAAGGTGGGATCAGCCCAAACTACACGCAGGACTGTCATGACCTAAGAGGCTGGGCCACAATTTTTTTAAATTTTTTCACTTAAGCCCGGGTTCCCAAATTTGTTTGGGCCCCCCCCTTTTGGGGGCCTTTGGGTTTTTTGCCTTTTAGCTGCGGTTCTAACTATAAAAGTTAAAAATTAATAAGGTGAGTGCTTTAGAAAAACAAACGGTGGGGCCCCGGACGGGTTTTGGGAAAATGGACTAAATTTTATTAATTCATAAATTTAATATATGTAATGTATTTTTGATATTTTTAATTTTTCCCTAGTTGAAGGGGGGTTTTTAAAATTATATACACCCCCACTTTTGGGGGGAATTTTAGAAAATCTATTAAAATTTTTCTTTTTTTACAATAAAAATTTTTTAATAATTGTGAAGGTCAAAAAAACACATTTTAATCTGTAATTTTAAAGTGTTACAATTAAAAAGAGGGTCTTCAAAACCAAATCCTTGATGATTTTTTAATTTTTGCATTGTTCCCCCGCTTACTGAAACTTTCCAACAGTTTGAAGGTTCCCAAATGGTTAGTTTTTTTGGCCTTTTCCTTCACCTCCTCGTCCCTTATAAACATCTCAATCTTGGTTGACCGCCAGCTCACAGGGATTGGACGGCCCCAGTCATGATGTGCAGCACTCCAAATCTTTTGTACAAAGGCCTTACACAGCCGGAGGTTTTGTTGGGCACATTGTCCTGTTGAAAAAACAAGATGACTCATCACCCTACCGGCCCATCAAGACCCAAACCAGATTGGAGGGATATTGCTGCAGGAATGCTGTAGACTTACGCATGCTGGTTCAAGGTGGCTGAATTCTAAATAAATCAAGACAGTGTCACACACAAGCACACCACATCACCATCACACCCCCCCCTGCCAGCTCACGGTGGAATCCACCGCGAAGTTTCTCTCATCCACTGCTCTCACAAGACACGGGTTGGCAAATTCTAATGGGACTCCAGACCGGCAAATTCCCCACTGGCAAGTATTGTCCCAAGTACCTCCTGGCTCAAGCAGGTTCCTTCTTCTTTTGGTGTCTTTAGAGTGGTTCTTTGCACCGCATTTGGACTTATGATGGCCTGATCAGCCAGTGGCACCCCCCCCTGAAACATTGATGTGTGCAGGTGCTCCCTGGTACTTGAACACTTGTGAAAGCATTTATTTCGGGAACTCAATTCTGGGCCCCGCCAACCGACCAAACTCTATGGGAGCTTACTCATTGCCCCACCCCCAACAGGGCTAAATCTCTGGGTCCAACCTCTCCATTCCTTGGCAGCCTCATGAAGAGCCAGTTCACAAATTAGCCTTTGATGCTCTTTTGGCTGCAAACAGCAATAATTCAAAGTTCTTGAATCAATGTTTACGATTGTGAGACACTCACATTATGTTACCTAAAAAATGATGGACCTGTACGTTTCTCTTCGCTTCTAGTGGAGCTTTCTTGCCATAATATGGACTTGGTCTTTACCAAGTAGGGCTATCTTCTGTTATAGCCCCTACTTTGTCACAAACACAATGATTGGCTTCAAACGCATTAAGAAGGAAATAATTCCACTAATTTAATTTTAAGAAGGCACACTGTAATGAAAGATTCCAGGTGGACTACCTCATGAAGCTGGTTAAGAGAATGCCAAGAGTGTGCAAAGCTGTCATCAAGGCAAAGGGTGGCTATTTGATGATCTCAAATATAAAATATATTTTGATTGTTTAACACTTTTTTGGTTACACTATGAAATACAATGTAGAAAATAGTAAAAAAATAAAGAAAAACCCTTGAATGAGTTGGTGTGTCCAAACTTTTCACTGGTTATGTATGTATGTATGTATGTTATGTATGTATGTATGTATGTATGTATGTATGTATGTATGTATGTATGTATGTATGTATGTATATATATATATGTAGTGTATAATAAATGTACATGGAAATATATGTATAGTGTGTTACCTCTGCTACCAGAGTGGTGAGCTGGGAGAAGGTGGGTCGGTCGGACGGGGTGCAGGCCCAACACTTCCTCATCACAGAGTAGAGTTCCTGAGGACAGTCAGGGGGTCGCTCCATACGCTCTCCCTCCCGCTCCACCCTCCACAGGATCTGAGGAGAGAAAAAAAAGAGGAATGTTTAATGACAAAGACATTGCAATGTAGAGATATTGAATATGTTTGTGGTCACACACAATATTGAACATTTTATTTTGTACAAAGGGCTCAAATATTTCAGAAGTCGCACAAATGCTTGGAGCCTTGACTCCTTGTGAGTCATGGTTCACCTTAAAGTGCTCTACCTACAAGGTGTACAAAACTGTCTCCTCCAGACTCAATTTCTACATTTTTCTACACATACCTGTCTGCCAGATAGCCCCAGCCAAGGCTCCTCACAATAGGTGAACATCTCCCAGAGGAGGACTCCAAACATCCACACGTCAGAGGAGTGGGTGAAGGAGCCCAAACGCAGACTCTCTGGGGCACACCTGGAGGGAGCAAGAGAGAAATGGAATTACTACAAACTGACAATCATTCAGCAAAGAAAATCCCACAGTAGTATTATCTCCACATCGGCTTCCATTAGGTTACACTGCTAAACAATCAATGACTTGTAAATAACATATCCCCCCACAAACTCCTTCATGTTTCCTCCTCAGCTCACCAGGCGAAGGGGATGCGTCTGTGGGCTGTCATCATGTAGTGATCCGTCTCCTGGCTCAGGCCCCTCATCAGCCCAAAGTCCCCGATCTTCACCATCTCCCTGGAGGCCAGCAGAACATTCCGGGCAGCCAGATCCCTGTGAATGAACCTGGGGGAGATATAGCACAGGCACACTTTACCAGCCAAAACCACAAATGATACTGGTTTTCATTGGATAGAAGTGTCTTCATCCGCCTCTGGTCAAATTTGATTGGCTTTCAGGAAATGTCAATCAATTGAGGACTAAATGGATTACGTTGGTCAGAGGAATTGTTTACATTTAGGGTTACAGTAAAGTTAGTGGTTAAACTGGCATATATGTGGTTGTAGTCTGTAGAGTGGGACTGTTTCGTGTCTCACCTGCGACCCTCCAGGTACTCCATGCCTGCTGCTATCTGGGTGGCAAAGAGCCAGAGGCGTGCCAGGGGGTACTCGTACTGGCGAGAGCGCAGCGTGTCATATAGGGACCCCAGAGATGCCAGCTCTGTCACCTGGGGGAAGGACAATCAGGTTTTAAAGGGACTTCTTTTATTATGAGGATTTTACATTTTCCCTCAAATTCCCTAAGTGAATTCTTTGATAAACATAACATCAGAATGACCATTGAATGTTTCTTTAAATTTGAATGGCTGTATTTGAATAACCAATCTACCGATTATAATATTAGCCTATTGGGGCCAGGAATGAAAGGAGACAAGATTTCAATGTAGAAATATGAGCAATACTAAATATGTTTTATCCTCCATCTTTCAGAGGATATAAAGAATATGGCAGTCTCACCATCTTGAAAGGCTGTGTGAGCACCACTCCATAGAGGCGGATGATGTTGGGGTGGTCTAGCGACTGCATGGTGGTCACCTCCTGGAGGAAGTCTGTCAGGGTGTCCGTCTGTCTGGACAGGCTACTCTTCAGAGACTTCACCGCCACAGGCAGCTGTCATGGCAACAGCAAGGAGAAGGGGAAAGATGGATGAGTTAGGTGTACTGATGAATAACATTTGGGATCGATTATAATGCAATTTTCTTTGATCGGGAATATACTGTAATGCAATTTCTATTGATCGGGGATATACTGTAATGCAATTTCTATTGATCTTTTTGAAGATATCTTACCCTGTGTGTCTTCTAAACAGACAACCTAGCTCTGGCTTTTCACTAGTACTACTGCATATCCACATTCATAACGTTGGACTTGGTGAGTAAAATAAAAAGTTAAATAGTGTCCCACTATTACAAATTCACTCACCACTCTCCCAGTGGGGGTCTGCCACTCTCCCCTCTTCACCACGCCGAAGGAGCCCATGCCCAGCTTCTCCCCCAGAGATAGCTCAGTGTCCTGGATCAGACAGGTGAGGGCCCGCCCTCCTGTCTCCTGGCCCTGCCCCTGGCCGGGCCCCACATTGCCCCATTGGTCACCCCCCTCCGGACCACGGCCACTGAAGACCTGGGATAAAAAAAAAAAAATATATATATAAAATAAAAATAATAAGTTTTACAATTAACAATCTTCAAGGAAATACATTGTGGGGAGTGGTGTACAGGTCTTACCTTGGTTATCCATGACTTTGGCCTCATGGTGATCCTGTAGCGTTGCACAGCCTTCCATAATCTTCTCTGTCCTACATGTCAACAAATACAATTACAATCAGAACAAATTACATTACCATTGATCATACAACAAAATAGATCAACAGCACTTACAATTCATTATTCTACTGTAACCCACTAATCTACTGGTAGTGTCAACATGGAGGATAGTTAGCTGAAGTCGGTTGTGGCAATATGGTATACAGCTATGATAAAAAAAAAGTTGCATGTTCGTGTTGCGGAGAAGTTTAGCATTTTAGCTAAGACTAACCCTTTTCCTAACCTTAACCTAATTCCCCTAGCCTGCTGCGTTAATTATCCTAACCTGCTGCCTAAGTTCTCCTAATTTGCTATGTAAAGTCACATTAGTCCGTAACTGTATACCATCTGGTGAAAACAGCAAAGCTCTGATACAAATCAGTTGGAGGCAACTGTGTTGGAGAAAAATAGAGCACTGACCTGGTTTGCTGATGCCAATCTGCTCTAGGTCAGACTCCTTGACGTAGGTGAAGTGTTCTATGCAGGTGATGTTGAGGCCGTCCCGGACACGCACGTAGAACCTCTCCAACTGGACCTCGGCCAGGAGTTGGTACAGCCACTGAGTGTCCTGGTCCATCAGCATGACCCTACAGGGCACCACAGCACTAGTGGGTTCAAAGGTCAAAGGGTCAGAGAAGATGGAGGGTAAGAGTCACGTAAAGGTGCCATTTCCGTCGGCCCTAAGAGCTACGCTGGCTGGAATTGCATGAAGTACCAGCGTTAGCCTACTTGCTACCATCATGCTGCCCAAAGTTAAAGAAGGTTGTAAAAATGGAGAGGACAGTGTTTCGCTATCACAGGTGCGTGACCTTTTAAAATAAACAAAAATATTTCAACAAGCAATTGTTACAGCAACAGGAAACTACCTTCAAGAGCTTTTTCCAAATACTGGTGGACTCAACTAACAAAATAATGGATGATCTGACCAGAGAGGTCCAGGACCTTAAGAACAGTTTGCAGTTCTCTCAGGGAGAGGTGGATGTCCTGAAAGAGATTTGCAGCAAGATGACAAAACTGTAAGTCCACTCAAGTAGACATCAGCACTGTCTGTGAATCATGAGACCTGGATGGAGTCTGAGGAGAAAGTGAGAAAAATTATCACAAAAAGCTGCAGATGGATCATAGGAAGATTGAGGTTGAGCCCACAGGTCTGGAAAACCTGTAACCAGCCCAGGTGACAGACCTAGGCCAATAGTGGTCAAGTTCCTAAGGTTCAAGAACAAGACGGCTGTTCTGGAGAGAGCCAAGAAAGTGAGAGGAACCAACATCTTCCTCAACGAGGACTTCTATGAAGCTGTGCGCCAGAGGTGGAAAGAACTTAACCCAGCTATGAAAGCTGCCAGAGAGCGTGGCAGCAACGACAAGCTCATTGTCCACCCTCCCTCCCTAAAGCCTGGGAGGAATGAGAGAGCCACGCTTCAGGGTCAGTAGCTTCACCCACACACACACACACACACACACACACACACACACACACACACCATCTGATAAACAATGTATTTATTTGTATTTTACCATAATACAGTGCCTTCAGAAAGTATTTATACCCCATTTACATAAGTATTTCACACCCCTTTGCTATGACACTCCAAATTGAGCTCAGGTGGATCCAATTTCCTTTGATCATCCTTTAGATGTCACCAGAGAGAAAGAGGAAGAGAGAAGCCCAATTCGGCGGAAAATCTTTCTCCCTCTAGCAGGTGCTGTTTTTTCGGCATTTTGCCCACCAAGCAAGGAGTTTTTGTATGGTGGTCAATGAGTGTCGAATTTGGTAAACTTAAAAAATATGGTTTATTTGCTACGCAAGGTTTATTTGCTCGAATAGAAGTTTCATAATGCTTAAGTTGTTACGAGTGTACTGATGACATACACTATATATATATATATATATATATACATAAGTATGTGGACACCCCTTCAAATTAGTGGATTTGGCTATTTCAGCCACACCCGTTGCTGACAGGTGTATAAAATCGAGCACACAGCCATGCAATCTCCATAGACAAACATTGGCAGTAGAATGGCCTTACTGAAGTGCTCAGTGATTTTCAACATGGCACCGTCATAGGATGCCACCTTTCCAACAAGTCAGTTCGTCGAATTTCTGCCCTGCTAGAGCTGCCCCGGTCAAATGTAAGTGCTGTTACTGTGAAGTGGAAACGTCTAGGAGCAACAATGGCGCAGCCGCGAAGTGGTAGGCCACACAAGCTAACAGAACGGGACCGCCGAGTGCTAAAGCGTGTAAAAACCACCTGTCCTCGGTTGCAACACTCACTACAAAGTTCCAAACTGCCTCTGGAAGCAACATCAGCACAATAACTGTTCGTCAGGAGCTTCATGAAATGGATTTCCATGGCCGAGCAGCTGCACACAAGCCTAAGATCACCATGCGCAATGCAAGCGTCGGCTGGAATAGTGTAAAGATCGCTGCCATTGGACTCTGGAGCAGTGGAAACGCATTTTCTGGAGTGATGAATCACGCTTCACCATATAATTTATTTTTTATATTTAATCCATTTGAATTCATGCTGTAACAACAAAATGTGGAATAAGTCAAGTGGTATAAATACTTTCTGAAGTCACCCAGGTAAGGGCTAAGAATAGCCCATATTAATATACAGTTTGTAGCCTTACAAATAAGTTTAATGAAATCACTAACATTGGATAACATTCATATACTGTTCATCTCTGAAACTCACTTAGAGAATTCCTTTGATGATACAGCAGTAGCAATACAAGGATATAACATCTACAGAAAAGACAGGAATGCCTATGGTGGAGGCGCTGCTGTATATGTTCAGAGACATTACTGTAAAGCTTAGAGAGGATCTCATGTCAAATGTTGTTAAAGTGTTGTGGTTGCAAGTTCAGCTGCCTCATCTAAAGCCTATTCTTTTGGGGTGCTGCTATAGACCACCAAGTGCTAACAGTCAGTATTTGGATAATGTGTGTGCAATGCTTGATAGACCTCTGTTAACATCAAACACACTATTTTCCGGGTGACCCAAACATTGACTGGTTAGCAACTAGATGTCCTCAAGAGGAATATTCTAACTGGGACTAATGCCTGTAATATGACCCAGGTTATCACTCAACCAACTAGAGTGCATACCAATAGTTTTGGATCTGTGACATCCACTTGTATTGATCATATCTTCACTAATGCTGCAGAGCTCTGCTCCAAAGCAATATCAGTTCTCATTGGCTGCAGTGACCATAACATTTAGGCAATAACAAGTAAAGCCAAAGTGCCAAAGTTTGGACCTAAAGTAATGTAAAAGAGATCATACAAAATGTTCTCAGGACTCTTTTGTTGAAGATGTAAAACACATGTATGTTGGTCTGATGTGTATGAGGAAGTGAATCCAGATGCAGCACTGGAAGTATTTGTAAAATTATTCATGCCAGTTGTTGACAAGAATGCATCTGTTAAGAAATTAACTGTGAGAACTGTTAGAGCCCACTGGATTGACGATGAATTGAAAAATGGTATTGTTCAAATAAATCATGCAAAAGAGGTGGCAAACAAGTCAGGCTGCTCAGCTGATTGGTTGACATACTGTAAACACACATTTTGTGACTAAACTTAACAAAAAGAAGAATAAATTATATTACCAAACCAAGATAAAAGACATAAAACACAATGAAAAAATACTTTGGAGTACCTTAAGTGATATCATGGGCAGAAAACCCAATTAATCTCCATCGTTCATTGAATTTGATGGGTAATTTATAACAAAACCTTTTGATATTGCCAATCATTTCAATGAATATTTCACTAGTAAAGTGGAAAAACTCAGAAGTGAAATGACAACACTGAACCACCATAATTTTTGTATAAAAGCTTGAATAATGAAAGAGAAGGATTGCTGTTTTGAATTTGGTCAAGTTAGTGTGGGAGAGGTGGAAAAACGATTGTTATCCATCAATAATGATAAGCCACCAGGTATAGACAACCATGACAGGAAACTATTGAGATTGGTAGCAGATTGTATTGCCAACCCTATTTGCTATATCTTTAACCAAAACCTAAAGGAGCATGTGTGTCCACCAGCGTGGAAGGAAGCTAAAGTAATTCCACTGCCTAAAAATAGTAAAGCACCCTTTGCTGTCTCTAACAGCCACCCAATCAGTTTTCTGCCTGTTCTTAGTAAACTGATGGAGAGAATTGTGTTTGACCAAATATAATGCTATTTGTCAGAGAACAAGTTAACTACTGAACTTTCAGCATGCATATAGAGAAACACACTCCACTTGTACTATACTGACTCAGATGATAAATGATAAATGGATATTAAGAATAGTTGAGCTGTGTAGTTAGATATCAGTGCAGCCTTTGACGTTATTGATCATAAATTGTTATTGAAAAAAACTAACTTGCTATGGCTTCACATCACCTGCCATCACATGGTTGGAGAGTTATTTATCCAATAGAACCCAGAGAGTGTTCTTCAATGGAAGCTTCTCGAACATCAGGTATGTACAGTGTGGTGTCCGTCAGGGCAGTTGCCTTGGGCCATTACTCTTATCTGTTTGCACAAAGCTAGAATGACTATGTATGTGGATGATTCCACACTCTACATGTCCGGTAATATGGTCAAGTGCAGAAAAGAAAGATTTAGCAAAACTGCAGCTGGCTCAAAACAGAGCAGCACGCCTTGCCCATAACTGCACATCAACAAAATGCATGCCAGTCTTTCCTGGTTGAGGCTTGACAAGAGATTAACTGCTTCTCTTCTAGTTTTTATGAGAAATATTACTGTGACGAAAATTCCAGATCGTATGCATAATCAAATATCATTCAGCTCAGACACCCTTACATACCCCACAAGTCCAAAACAAATTCACGGCAACGCACAGTTTTATACAGCGCAATGATCGCATGGAACTCCCATCTCCAATTACTCAAGAAAACAGCTTGAACAACGGATTAAACAACATCTCATGGAATGGTGGGGACTGTGAGGGGACACACACAGACACACACCTTTTTTAGTTGTATTGTTTGTATTTTTTTTTATTGTATATTGTTGTATTTTAAATGTGTGTAACTGTCCTTTTCTATTAGTGCATCAGCGTTTTGTTACTTGTCATGTTTTGTGCGGACCCCAGGAAGGGTAGCTGCAGCTTCTGCAAAAGCTAATGGGGATCCAAATAAAGTATCAGGATGGTCCGGTTCCATTAGTAGAACAATGCATCCTTCCTTTGTCAAAGTAGTTTCTAACTAGAATGGGTAGGTAAGTAAGAAAGGGTTCCACTACATAGCTTTCACCAGTCCAGTCAGTGATCACCTTAAGGGAGGATGCATTTCAAGCCAATTCCAAGAAACAGCGTAAGCACTGCCTTGTTGCTCATTCCCAGCAGCTACACCAATTGAATATTATGCATAATTCAATTGAGAAGTCACTGATTTTGTTCAGTGGAGGAACATCGGAAGTCAAAGAGCCACAATTCAATAACGAGCCAGCCTGTTTTACCGTAACTCTGTTCAAAGTTCACATACCAGCCTCTTCTGGTCGCTATGGACACCCTTAACAAGAATTCAACAATAAAAGTCCTCAGCTGACGTGCTGTCTAACATAAGAGGGAGCTGAGTGTGACAGTTT